TTTGCTGGGGTCTGTCCAGTGATTCGGTGGGGTGTGGTTCGATAGTGGAGAAGTAGGTTTGGTAGTGATTCTTTCCAGTCCTTTTGCTCTGCTTGTGCTGTGAGGACATGTTTCTTGATGACTTCGTTGAATCGTTCAACTTGACCATTTGCCTGTGGCCAGTATTCGGTCACGGTTTTGTGCTGGACTCCCCAGGACTGTAGGGTCGTTTTGAATTGTGTAGAGGTAAAGTAGGAGGCGTTGTCCGACTTCAGGACTGTGGGATAGCCATGTTGGGCGAAGATGGAATTGAGCCACTTCAGAATTGTAGCGGGGGTAACGGTTTTGAGGGTCTTGGCTTCGGGCCATCTGGAGTAGTAGTCTGTGAGAACAACAATGTACTCACCAGTCGGGAATGGCCCACAGATGTCGATTGCTAACTCGGTCCAGGGTTCTTTGGGTAGCTCTGTTGGACGCATTGGTTCAGGGCGTGGTGGTTGTGCTACCAATTGACAGGGATGACAACATTTGACGTGAGCTTCGACGTGCTTGTCCATCTGCGGCCACCACAGTTTTGCTCGGATGCGTTGTTTGCACTTTGTGATCCCTGCGTGGTCTTCGTGAGCTAAGGATATGGCTTTCTGTCAACTACGACTCGCGTTTTGGCTTCGAGACTGTAATGAGCCAAAACTGGAGCACTCGTTAGGGCTTGCTTCAGGGTGATGAATGCTTTCTCGTGTTCGTCGCTCCATCGAAACTTTGCGTCTGCCTTCGTGAGCTGGCGAAGTGGGTAGGTGATGCTGCTGTAATTTTGGATATACCTGGAGCAGTAGTTTGTTAGACCCAGGAACGATCTAACTTCCGAGGCTGACTTTGGTGGTGGGGCGTTGTTCACCGCTTCGATTTTGGCTTTGTCTGGCTGTATTCCATTTCCAGAAACGATATGTCCGAAGACATTGATTTCTGGAACTGAAAACGAGCATTTGGGTAGTTTGAGGGTTAAACCGCGGGACTCCAATTTGGTTAACAACTGTTCGAGTTGTTTATAGTGGGACTGTCGGTCATCGGACCATAACCAGATGTTATCTGAGATGTTTGCACATCTAGGAATGCCCTTGATAAGTTCATGGATTATCTCGTGGAAGTATTCGCCAGAGGGTGATGCTACCATTATCAAACGCTTGAAACGGTGGGGGCCCTCGTCGGGGGTGGTAAAGGCAGTGATATATCTCGATTCTTCCGCGAGGGTGAGTTGTAGATAGCCTTGGGACAGATCGACTTCCGTAAATACTTTAGCTCCTTCCATCTGGCGTAGAATCTCGTCAACGGTTGGGATCTGAACTCTACGTCTGATTAGAGCTGTGTTTGGAACGCGCATGTCGAGAACCAGTCTGACGTCACCAGTTTTCTTTGGAATGGCGATGAGTGGGGATAACCATGGTGTTGCACCCTCCACTTTTTCAATGATGCCGTCGTCACGCATTTCACGTAATTTCGCGTTTACTTTTTTTCTCATGTTGTGCGGAATTCGTCTGGACGACTGTGCTACGGGTGGTATGGATTTATCGATCTCGAGTTTGACCTCAACGCCTTTCAAATTGCCGGTTCCTTTGAAAGGTTTTTCGTGTTGCTTGAGCAACTTCGCTATAACTGGATCCTCGTGCTGCGCAATATTGTTTATGTTCAATGTTATTAGTCCTAATGCCGTAGATGATTCACAGCCGAGAATACATTGGGATTTTGCCGTTGTGACGTAAAACGTTGCGTCTATAGATTGACCGTGTGTTGATTTAATTGTTGTGTGAAATTCTCCAGAAAGGTCTATAGGGCTATCAGTTCCGTATGCACGAATTTTTGCGTTTGTTTTGGCTAGTTTAATGTGATTGTTCTCGCTTTTAATGCGCTCGAATATTTCAGTGTGAATAATGTTGACAGATGCGCCGGAATCGATTAGTACTTTCACTGGAGTGTGTCCAATTTTGATCTGAGTCTCAGGTGACTTATTTGGCGTTGACTTTAAGGTAAAACAATTATCATCGTCCGAGTCTTGTAAGTATCTGTCATCGGGTGTCTTGAGTGGGGTAATATGTTTTACCGATTTACTGCTCGATTTGCATAATTTTGCGAAATGTCCGAGTTTTCCGCAATTATGGCAGGATTTTCCTCGAGCAGGGCAATTCTGCATTCCGTCTTTGTGTGGAAATGCTCCACCGCAGTTTCGGCAGGTTTTCTTTCCGTCCGGTGGTGGTTTTCGTCTGCGATTGAATGCACCCCGTGGTTGCGATGCTGGTGGCTGGCGGTTTCTTTCCAATGCGTTTAGGTCTGTGTTTGCGTTTTCTAGTCGTTGCGCTTGTTGATCCGTAATTTCTAGCGAAGTTCCGTGCGCTAATAAGGCTTTTAAGTCCATGCTTTCACGAAGGGCTTTCTTTCGCAATCTTGAGTCTCGTGTCTTGTGGATGATTTGTATTTTAATCTCTTCGTCTTCGTTCGCGAATTCACAGTCTGTTGCCTTGGTTTTGAGTCTTCGATAATACGCAGTGAGAGTCTCGTTAGTTTCTTGTGTCAACTCGCGAAATTCGAATATAGCTACATCTTTGTTTCCACGCGGAATGAAATACTGCGTTAAACTGTCGACGGCTGATTCATACGTTGTACCGGTGTCTGGCAGAATGTCGAAGATATCGTTTGTTGCTTCGCCAACGTATGTCAAGAGAAGACCTCGCCGGATGGTCGAGTCGAACTCTCGAAGGCTGATGAGTAGGTTTTCAAAACGCCGTATCCATTTCTTCCATCGTTGAGACACTGTTGCTGAATCTGTGATTGGGTCAAATGGGAGAAAAGGGGGTAGACCACTTCTAGGAGCGTTAAAACTTTGTGTTGTAGAGTTTGGTTGTTTTGATGCCGGTTGGTCTTTCCCTGAAGATGTAGCACTTTCATCATCACTCATGTTTGTTAGTTATCCTCGTCGCCACTTTTGTATCTTGCTTGTTTGGGTTATAGAGACCTCTAGCATATATGCTACTCGCACTAGTTGTAATCAAAGACTAATTTATTGATAGAATTAAGTAAATATATATACAAGCATTGACAAGCAATTAGGATATATGATATGGGTGTGTGTGTGAAAGGTTAAGCCTGGATTGAATTAAGTACAGGATACAACAACAACTTAATACTCGGTGTTAGAAATCGATTAAAAATGGTGTATTTGTTGTATTTGAGGACTACTTTACCCACTGAATGTTGTTGGTTGTGGTATTTATACTTAGCGCTGATCCCAACAGGCTTATATATTGTTTGTATCCTAACAAAATTGTGTCACTTCCTATCTAAACCTTGAAAACGTTAATTAATATTATTTTGATGTCATTTGAAGTTTTTTTAACTTATACTTGTGCATATAATCGAAATTAAAACATGCGTAAGTGTGGTTTTCAGCCGGCTTTGCCGAGCCAACTCGGCAAAAAGCGATTACATGGGATGTGTAGGCCATTTGTGTCCTGGCTAAGCGAGTTGACTCGGCAAGTTACAGCCGCGGTCCCGGCAAGGCGGGACAACTCGCTTTGCGTGTAATCGAAATGTCAAAATAATAGACAATACATATAGGAAGCGGGTCAACTCGGCAAAGCGAGTCAACTTGCTTAGCGGGACAACTCGCCCATGTAATCGGCCCCTAATTAGGATGAGTTTTATCAGATATAAAGTTACTCCACGTGACATGTTATGGCTGACATGATTTGCCACCAGGTTTATGGATTTTTAATGAGTATTTTAAGCTAATTTAATAGCTACGTTTTGGACGTATAATTTATGAAAGTTTGAAACAGATCTCTAATGGCTTTGTTTTCCTTTTGTGTGTATCCAAAAAAGTCGACAAACGATATTTAATAGGCGTATATATACATTTTCCGCCCGCTTGCGTTTTGAAATGGATAACTTTTCTCGCTAGTTAGTGCTAGGTCATTAGGTTCGCCTGTAATCTAAAGATACACATCAAATTGCTATAACATTGTTAATAATAACAACTCTTGATTGTGAATTGTTTTTATTTTTGAAAAGTCGTACAGGATTTATTAGTTAACTCGCGAAAACATGTTCATATAAATTTAAAATACTCATTAATAATTCATAAACCTTGTGCCAAATCATGTCAGCCATAATATATCACGTGGAGTGACTTTATATCTGATAAAGCATGTGGCATTATATAATTGTTCATCCTAACTAGTATGATTATACAATGGTTCATCCTAATTATAGTATTCTTTTGTAGTCGTATTTTAAGCTACTCAAAACACTCGTTGTCGTGTTTTATCAGACATGCATAACGCTCGGCTGCGCCTCGAGTTTTATATCTGATAAAACACTCCTACTCGTGTTTTAAATAGTAGAAAATATACTCTGGATAGGGCGTGTCAAACTTTTCAAATTTTCTCGTTGATTGAGATCGTAAACAATGGATGGATGGATCAACTTTATTTCATGCCTCAACAGACGGCAATGGCGCAACAAAAGATTACTATTCCTCAAAAATAGCTGGTCAAAAATTCAATCCTAAAAAAGCTTGGAAAAGTATAAACAACTTATTAGGGAAGCAAAACAAACCAACAGTGGTGAATGAGATTAATCTAGGGGGGGAAATTTTTACAACTCCCAAAGATACTGCAGAGGGCTTTAATGATTACTTTTCAAATATTGGACCTGATTTAGCTAGCAAAATTGATATTTCAAATTATAATTTTGAAACATATACTAAAACTGCTGAATCAGAATTTGCAGCATTCCAGCCTGTTACTGTCAGTCATGTCTGTCGTCTCTTGCATGGGCTTTCCAGCAATAAAGCCACTGGCATTGATAAAATTTCTTGTAAAATTATTAAGATAGCTGCACCAGCTATTTCAGACTCATTGACGTTTATTTTCAATCAGGCTATAACTCTATCCTCCTTTCCTAATGAATGGAAAATGGCAAGAGTAATTAATACCTTTGCATAAAAATGGCCAACGGAATATTCCAGGAAACTATAGACCAATATCAGTTTTACCTGCGATTAGCAAAATTATGGAGCGAATTATGTATGATCAACTGTATAACTATTTAACAAAATTTAAACTCCTTAGCGATTCTCAATTCGGTTTTCGAAAATCTCATTCTACAGCAACTGCATTACTAGACTGTACCAATGATTGGTATATGAATCTAGACAGAAAAATGTTTAACCTAGTAGTTTTAATTGATCTAAAAAAAGCATTTGATACTGTTGATCATCAAATTCTATTGAGGAAGTTAGAACTTTATGGAATAAAAGGAGAAGCTCTAACTTTGCTCAAATCTTATCTCACAAACAGAAACCAGAAGTGCCAAATTAAGAATTCCTTTTCTACAGAGCGATTGATTAAGTGTGGCGTACCACAAGGCTCCATCTTAGGACCACTATTCTTTTTGTTATATATAAATGATTTACCTCAGTGTCTAAACAAAACAAAACCTCGATTGTTTGCTGACGACACAAATCTGACAGCTTCGGGAGATTCTATAATTGACCTTGAAACTGCAGTAAATTCTGATTTGGAAAACCTCAGAAATAAACTTAGTCTAAATGTAGCTAAGACAGAATTTATGTCAATTGGTTCAAAGGCAATGATTAAAAAAAATTCTGATTCACGTTTAAATGTTTTCATTGAAAATAAGCAAATTACACAAGTTAGCGAATGCAAAACTCTTGGAGTAATAGTTGACCAGCATTTGTCTTGGAAAAGTAATTCCAAAAATATTTGCCAAAAAATAACTGCAGGAATCTCTGCTATTCGTCGAGTCAAACCTTTCGTTGACAAAGGTACACTCATTTCGATATATAATGCTATTGTTCGCCCATACTTTGATTACTGTTGTGAAGTATGGGATGTGTTTGGTGAATCACAATCAAAACGACTCCGAAAACTTCAAAATAGAGCTGCTAGAATTATCTTAAACATGAGTAATGACGTAAATCATTCCATTGCTCTACGTGCATTGGGCTGGGAGCCACTCAAAACTGAAAGGAAGAAAGCTAAGTCAAAAATGATGTACAAAGTATTAAATAAAATGGATCCTAAATCACTCACCAATCTTTTTTCATACAAATGTGAGAAAACAAACTACAACCTTCGTGACATTTCAAGTGGTCTTAGTTTACCAAAATCGCGTACTAACAACATGAAAAATAGTTTCATGTATGACGGAGCACACCTTTGGAATTCTATTCCAAAGGAAATTAGGGAAAGCGAAACTCTTTCATCCTTTAGCAATAAAATCGCTGCTCACAAAATTGACATAGAGTAAATTGATGTAACTGTAAATATTCTAATAACCTTCTTATCATGTAAATAATTTAATATTCTACCTTTTTAAAATGGTAATTTTTACGAGTACAAATTATTGTTAATGGACGATACTCGGTGCGCTAGACCTAAAAATTATAGATTTGAAATGTCTATGTTAAGCCAACTCGAAAGCTACTATTGTCTAAACAAAGGAAGACTCTATCACAGACATTCATTATTTGCTTGCCAAGCCCGTGGGCTACTGCACCCGGTATCGTTTATTAATTATTGTCCAAACCACTATGTTTGACCTATTCATAACTATAACAATGAAACTACAGTTAAACATGGGCAGATATCCGAGTTAGCTTTATCTGCCTATATCATTCTTACTTGGATTGCGAGCTGTAAAGACTGATTTAAAGAGTCATTTAAAAATTAATCGTTTCACGTTTATCATTTCTAAACGGTCACCAAAAATAATGCCAACAGTTAGCAAACCACGATCACGAGTTCGTCAACAGGATCAACGACCATCCAGACTCAACCGTCCGTCAAAGTACCGAGCAATTTGGGCGAGTTATCAATTTTAGAGTTGAAGAACCTTTGCCGCGAACTCAACTTTTCCTGCGCTGGCGGCCGACGGGTACTTACAACGCGGCTACAAAACGAAAGAGAACGTCTAAACACGAATACGCCGCAATCCAACATTCAAACCGTTCCAGTAAACAACACGTTATCTAATTCCAACGCAAGGGAAAGCTTCAGCGCCGACCAACTGGCACAGATTACGCAGATTGTTTCGCAGTCGATCTCGTCGTTCTTCGAAAGCCAACACGCCACAACAACCGCGACTCGTGTAGATGAGTAGCCAACTATCCCGCCAACGCCACTCGAAAGGCTAGAACAGCTTGGTCAATTTCCATTTTTAAGTTCCAGCGAGCTCCAGCAGCAGCCGACTTCATCCCATGGACCTGTTGCCTCAATCCAGCAAGCAGATGGGGGATTCACGGCAGAGATTCCAAACAAATACGTTCGTGACATCGAAAGTGGTGCGTTTTTTGAGCTTGCTAAATTATTGCCAAAAAATTTAAATAAGTTAAATGTTGGTTCCGATTATTCTGACAACGTGGGTTTCACAATTTCCTCTACGGGAATCTCATTAACACCGCGCAAGCCTCAAGTGCTGACTAACATTGAAGAGTGGACAACCGCTTTCAACACGTATATGTTAATCATAG